ATGCACATATGGAAGGAGTAGCAGCTATTCGCTCCCTAGGGCGGCAGCAGCAAATGTGTCCCCTTGCCAAAGGATGCAATTCAAAGCCCTCTATAGACACAAGGAGGTAGCATTAAAGTCTTCAGAACAAAGCAGTAATGGTCATCTTCCAGCTCATATCACAAAGCAAGCAATTACATTCTTCACTAGCTGGTGTTTCTAAATGGATTTCAACTCTGAAAGCACACATAGAACATTTTCCTTAAAGCTACCAGGAGTGTCTTACTTCAGAGATTTAGAATCAGCTTAGGTGGGTTCAGTTTCCAGCTTGCATAAGAGTTAATTTTCTCTCTTTCTCTACAAGTTCTACACCCAGCTACTGTCACAATGCATTTGAGTGATTCGTGACGATCTGCCCCATGTGGCCTCCTCCTACAGGCTACTGGGGAGGGGGGAAATGACACAAAACTCCACAACAACAACAAGCCCCCACGCTTCCTTTTCTTTAGAACATTATTTATTGTTTCTACTCACCTTTAGTGAAAGAAAAGACGAAAGCCACCCCACAATGGCATGTGTAATTCCACAGGGGTTCTAATCGAATCCAAACTAGACACAAACTATTGTTGGTTTAGTGTTAAAACTAGCAAGCTCATATAACAAAATCCAAGTAGCAAGTCATTGGAGGAGAAGTTATTAAAAAAGAAAAGCTGCTTATGTTAATTAAACAAAGAAAATCTGACTGGCAGACAAGAACAGCTTAGAAGTAAATGCATTTAAAATATGTATCTGTTTCCTGGTGTTCCCCAGAGCACTCAAACACAGCTAGTATGTGAGCTCATCCATCCAGTCTTAAGGATTAAAGAAACTGTTGGTCTTGTTGACTAAACCCAGTGAAGAAACAGTGGTCTTTAAAAATAAAAGCCCATGCATGTCCACCAGGTTTTGTACATGAAGCTCTGGAAGTAGAGAAAAGAGCCCTTGCTTCTGCTCCCTTCGAAAGGCAGGATAGAGAGCAAATTAGAAACTTCTTAGGCCTCAGAGAATCCCTTTTGTTCTGGAAAACCAAAAGAGGGAAAAAGGTTCTTCAAGAGCTTATCATGAGACATCAAAAGCCAATGATGAGAAAACCCATCCATTAGAAATCAGGCTCCATCAGTACTGCTGCTCACTCCTTCCTGAACGTCAGGTGAGGAAGACGTTATCAACAGCTCCGTTTTCCCCCTCACTCCCACAGACCTTTTTAACAAGTTGATCCCTGTGTTGCAGGAACCTGTTATGAGAAATTAGGCTATGCCAATATTCAGGTTTTCATTAATTTGATTTCTTCTCAGACCTGAATGAGTAACTAAGAGAATCAGAGTGAATCCCACATCCTTTTGAGAATTTATTCTAATTCCTCTTATCTTTTTCCCTAATTTAGATTAAATTTTTTAGAAAAGCCTTCAGTAGTGACATGTTAACCCCTGTGTTTGACATTAGCACACATCTAAAGAAGAACTGCAGCATATTTCATGGCAGTCATGCTGAGAATAGTTACATAGCTATTTTTATATACTTACCATTGTAGACCTACTACTTTCTGAGATGCTTAAAAACATCACCCCAAAAAAAAAGAAATCAGACACAACGTAAGTAGAGACTGTAAGATTTTTAGGTCCATTGTTTGCTGTCAAATAAATATTTAAGAATTTTCAACTCTTAACTAGAATATTATTACAGAATGCTTGCATTTTGCTGAAATAATAAAATTAAGATGGCTCTTTCCACGTCAGAGTTGTTGTTTTTTTTTTAGAGCAGGGATTTCCAATGCACAGAACTGAAAACTTTATGAACAGTGGGACTCAGCAATCTCTCACAACATCCCGCTGTTGGCCACGTGAAGTTCCTTTCAGGTGTTGTAGCTTGATTACACTACAAAGAATAGCACAAGTACGTAATAAAATTGTGATAATGAACCTGAATGAAAACAGAGCAAGCACAGCGCAGGAGAGCTACAGACACCCAATTATTCATTAAAGTAGTTACTTTCACATCTTTGTGCACCCTTCTACTTACCACTGATAAGTGCTAAAAGGTGGTGAGTTTGTTTTAAATACATATAGATACCATTTTGATTGCCTGGTTGTACTAAGATATGAATTATTGTGCTGAATAATGTATTCATTACTACAAATCTCATGAGCACATTGCTTGGTTCATAAGATTGTCTAGTAAATCTGAAAAGTGCTTCCCTTCTTCTGACAAGAAAAACCAGACACATTTAGTATTAAGAGTTTCTTTAAGAGTCTTTTTATTTGTAATCAGATCTACATCACATCTGTAATAATTTCTATAGTCTGTATTTCCTTCAGAAAATATAATCTGTCAGTGAAGATACCAAAAATACCTGCTTTCATCATGTAGTAAGCATATAACCAGCCAAGGGTAAAGTTTTCTTTTGTGCAGTTCTCTCACATGCGGTAGAGATCTCAACTCTGTATCCTGGATGTAAATGGTGTGCAGAACACCCTTTGTCAATAGGAGGTACTAAACACATGCCTTAATTCAGGGATATATACTATAGATAGGAGACACATTATTTGGCTCTCAGTGAAAACTACACTGTTTAAGATACAGTATTTTTCTCTATAGGAGACCATAGAAAACTTCCTCAAGGCTTTGCTAGGCTTCCTACCATTTTTGTCTTTCCAAGATACTAGACTTCTGACAGCACTGAAAATGATGGGCATGATTTAATGGTTGAGTAATAGTGTGTCTAAAAGGGTTAGGACAGTAGAGGGGTATTGTTCAAGAGCATAGTGGGAGGAAGAGTGGAATAGGCTCATGTGAAGTAACGGCAAAAGCCTGGATTCCTGGATTCACTGGCTTTTGAAATTCCTTTTTTTCTAGCATGATTACTTAAAAAAAATTGGACATGCAAGCAAGCTTCCAAACTACAAAAAATATTATTAAAATAATTACCAGGAGCATAAGAAAAGAAGACCTACTGCAAATTTCAGGGGACAAAAAACATTTTAAAAAGTAAAATAATCCCAGAGGAACAGGGATTTTGCTGTCCTATAGCTCTCCTTCCTATAGCACTGTAGGTGAGTTCACGGCAAGGACCATTCTGCACCACAGTCTCTCCAACGGGCTTGCTCTCCCTCATCCGCTAGACTTCCCTGCCCATCAGCCTCAGAACTGAACCTTTTACTCATGATCAGTTTTTATAGGCTTTCGGAAAGCAAAGATGCAAAGAGCACTCAGGAAAGAGCTACCTGCCAACCAAAGGTCAGCTGATGAAAAAGCTAATGGTGAAAAAATGACTATTATAACAAACGCACACTTGCCTCAAGATGCAACTACTTCTACCTTTCAAAGTTTGCTTGGCTGGAAAAATTCATCCAGTTTCTACAGAAGTGAACCAACTGTGTACATGCAACCCAAGTCAGTTTTCATTATCAGAAGATTTAGAACAACTTTAATCATGTCATATTCTTCCCTGAATTTTTAAGTGAAAGAAGATTGAGCTAAATCATTATCTGGTATGAGTCAGTGCTGTTAAATTAAAAAAAAAAAAAAGGAATCAAGCAGATTTCAAAGGCTTAATATTACTGTGTGTGGCTATTCATGACTAAGCCTCTGGTCATGAGAAAGAATCCTGAAATTGTTTAATGCAAGCAGTAGGACACAGTAAGTAATAGCCAATTACTTAAACCAAAAATTCTCTTTGAGAATCATCTAACTGAGTAGAAAAGCAATTATGAAAATTTGTCTTCATCTTTGCGGATCCTGTGCATCTGCTTCTCTATATTTCTAGGTATATTACTACAAGAATTCAGCTGAGGCAGAGCTACAAGCCAGTTCTAGAATTAAATATACTGGTATTCATTTCAGATGTATAATAGTGCAATTATCATTACAGTAAGGGAGCATAAAAGTGAAACCTACATTTATTTAATTTGTATTTTCAGAAACTTCATGGATTTCTTCAGCTACATAGAGCAGTTAAAGGATAAGTTCTGTATTACTAGCTTAAAGCAGTACTATTTTAAGGTGAATCTACGTAATAATTGCAAATATCTCAATTCGTTTTATACCCAGCAATGAGAAATACCTACCATGACAGAAATTTGACACAGTATATTTCCATCCTTCAAGATATTAATAAATTCAAACACTTTTTTTTTAAGCCACTCCAGTCTTCACTGTCTACAAATCAATCCCCAGCAAACTTGCAAAACTGAAGGAAAAGCCGGCAAACTCCATATCAGCACATCAGTTCCTGTTCTTTGAGTATCAAGGAAATTAAGAGGAATAGTTGAGGCACAAGTGATCTTTATGCAGAAGTACAGAAGTATTTCAAATAAGTATTTCAAATAAGTAGACTAAAACTTCAGCACTTCTTTTAACTTCTTTAAAAAAAGACATAGGTCATAGGTCTCTGATCACACTCCTAGATCACAGTCACTGCAGTCTTACTGGATTGCTTTTTTTTTCCAAGATGAAAAAAGAAATTGATTCATGGAACTTCCCAAATCGACTTTATACTGCCATTTCACATAGTCCATGTTTAATCAAAGCAAAGTACAAACCCATGCTTCAAGGCAGACTGAAAACATTCGGCTGCACTCAACAGTAAGCTATTTCTTCGGTGAAGACAGCTGCAGTGAACCCAGTAACTCGGAGAACAGTCCGTCCAGCTGAACTGACATAAACGTTGCACGCAGAACTTACATGAAAGTGCACTGACAACAAGCTTTTGAGAATAAGTCCATACCATAAGGGCTTGTGCTTCAAATTACTTTTATAGCTACGGTTATTGTTTCTGTTAAGAGGCACTGCATAAATATGGAGTTAATAATCTAATGCACTTAATATTTCTCAGCTGAGGACTATTGCAGCTTTATCCTATGTATAGGTGTGATTATACTTTGGTTTGCTTTACAACAGTAACATTGCACTAGCAATACAGCTGATACTAAAGAGAAGGCTGAAAACACCACAGACTGGAGGATTGAAATAAACAATCCGCTCCTTTACTTCTTTTCATGCTTCTTGGTTAATTTTCCTCGTTCTAGCTGGAGGCTCGCACTGCTGTTTGTTCGCTTCTCCTGTTGCTGGCTCTCCTGGGAAACCTGCTGCACTGCTCGGAGGATAGCAGTCTGCACTATCTGCTTGCTGGCGTTCTGCAGCTTAACTTCATCCTGCTCCGTGCCTGGCTTCTCCCCTGCCAGAACCAAACGACAAAGAAAGAGAACTAAGCATTCGTGGCTACTCTGTGCACACCTGAAGGACAGAAAAAGGGGAAGGAAAAAAGAAACCCCACAGAGTGCTTGGGAACTGTTCACTACGGAAGAAACCTGGTAATGCAGAAGGTGATGAAGTAAGGCGGAAAGTGCCCCTGTGTTCCCAGTGCCACAGGACTGAACGAAGGGGGAGACTTTGAGCCACACAGCTCAGTTACCCACTTCCCAGCTCTGGGAACAGCTGTGGCTTCACAGCTGGAACAGGCAAGCTGCCTTTTGCAGCAAGACAGGGAAGGAGGGTTTTCTCATCCAGCTGTGAATCACATCCTTTTTGATTTGAGTTGTGCTTCGGGACAGAGAATTGGACTTCATTTTACAAGCCTGACATGTTCTCCCTCTCCACCATGTAGCAAAAAAGCTGTTTCATTAACATTGTTATTTACTTTTACTTCAAATTAAAAGCCCACTTTCATCAAATTCTAATTGACTTCAAGGTACAAAATTTTGTTAGATGTGATTTTATTATTCCTTAGCTACCTTTGCAAAAATATTTGCAAAAGCATTTAAAAATGCTCAGATTGCTACAGGTAAAACACTCCCCTCCCAACATTCTCTATAGCAACCTGCCAAATACGTAATTCTTATGTGACACTTCCTTGTTTTGCTGAATTGCTAAAATCTGGAGAAGAACAAAGTAATGTAGTGTGACTACTGACATTTGGTAATGAAGAGTTGTAGTTTATATCAAGAGGTTTCTGTTTGGAAGTATTTTGACTCCTAACACAAATGACAATTTGGACAATAAAAAATGCTGTGTAATGTTCAAAGTTGATCTTGATTGAAAAAAAAAAATCTGAATTAAGGTGATATATCCCTATCGGCATTTAGGAAAATATAGACGTAGTTGCTAATTGAAATGCTTAGGCTAGGTCTACATTACCACATTTAATTTTAAAGGTTTTTAAGATACTCATTGTAGTTCCTTCTTAGTTCACTGTTGTTCTCAAGTATTTCATTAAACAGGATTTGTATTTTATTGTCTGTTTTAATGCCATGTATTAAGAACTATGTCCTGAGAGAAATAAAAAAGTGAATTAAATGTCAGCGACTTATATGAGAGGTCCACATCTGGAATTGTGAAAAATTCTCAATGGTCTTCAAGAATATTTTGTAAGGAAATTTAAGATAGAGACAAAAAGTAGAATCACCTTAAGGAAGGCATTACTAAGATGTGATATGCTTGAGGGAAGGAACAAGGTCCTGCACCTGGGCCAAGGCAATCCCCAATATCAATGCAGACTGGGTGGTGAATGTATTGAGGGCAGCTTTGTGGAGGAGGACTTGGGGATGCTGGTAGATGAAAAAGTAGACATGAGCTGGCAATGAGCACTCGCAGCCCTGAAGGCCACCCATATCCTGGCCTGCATCAAGAGAAGCATGGCCAGCAGGTCAAGGGAGGTGATTCTGCCCCTCTGCTCTGCTCTGGTGAGACCCCACCCGAGTCCTGCGTCCAGCTCTGGAGCCCTCAGCACAGGAAGACATGGACCTGCTGGAGCAGGTCCAGAGGAGGCCACAAAAATGGTCCAAGGGCTGGAGCACCTCTCCTATGAGGACAGGCTGAGAGCATTGGGGCTGTTCAGCCTGGAGAAGAAGGCTGCGGGAAGACCTTACTGTGGCCTTTCAATATATAACAGCGTCGTGGTTTAAACCCAGCTAGCACCTAAACACTAGACAGCCACTCACTTCTGCCATTTTCATATTATACGTGTTCTGGCTAAATGTAAAATACTAATGTGGTTTAATTCTAGTGAACTAGAATCATTAAAAAAAAACCCCTTGCAACTGTACCAAGACGACAAAGTTTGTCTACAATTAAGAGGTTAAAATCATGAAAATAGAAAACATGTCTTAAGCTGGAAAAGCTGACTAAATGGAATCACTTGAATTCTTGGCATAATCAGCTTCTCTGATTCAATTTGTTCCACTCCTCAACACTTGAAACAGTGTCTTCTGGATAAAATTCAATGTTTTTTAACAGAAAAGTACAGATATTTCTTTATTACTCAAATATGAACTCACTTTGTATTACGCAATGAATTAGACTTCTTGCTGGGCTGTAAGAAATCACAGAATCACAGAATCACAGAATAGCAGGGGTTGGAAGGGACCTCTGTGGGTCATCTAGTCCAAACCCCCTGCTGAAGCAGGCTCACCTACAGCAGGCTGCACAGGACCTTGTCCAGG